AAAAAACAAGTCTGAAGTCTTCCCCTGAATCGGCGAAAGCACCGAAATTACTTCATTTTTCTCACCAAATCGAAGAAGACTTCGAAGCGAATCTGACAACATTGGTACTTATGAAGTAGATAAAAAATGAAAACCCTATAAGCCCTAACAAACTAAAAACCCTAGAAATAAACCCTAAAGCTAAAAGTATAATATATGTCCTTTAAAGTGGAATAAAAATTTAAAATAAGAATAATTTTGCCCTCCATCATTTTTCCCAGGTTGGAGAAACATCGTCCTCGAGTTTTGAAGTGTCTTAAGATGGAATTGATGCTATTTCGGCTAAATTCTTGAACTCGAATATTGTAAACATAATCATGGGACTTGTGGGTTACTGCATTAATCAGAACACAATGATTGTACATTAAATCTCAGAGTCCCTCGAGGAAAGGGCCATTGTATGTCGATAGAATATTTTTAATCACATAAATTTGTTGAAATTACATCGCTTCAGCCATATAACCACCCTATTGAATTTGCCTAGATCAGCTCTAGAACATACCACGGGTGCATCTTTGAGATCAGCGACTAATTAACAACTTCACCTATAAATTCTCCTTTGTGAGTCCATCTTTTTCCTTGTCAAATACCAATTCAACCATAAAATCTTGATCATCATTGTAGATTGGATCTTGTACAAGATCTTGTTCTTCATCTAAGTATGTGTTGAAGATTGGTGGCAGATCCCCATCTACATCCTGCAGATTTTCGATACAATTTGTGTCAAATTCAATAATCTCATCCTCCAAATCGAAAACCTTAGAGTGATGTTCCCTCCATCTAGGTCTTATATCACTATCCTCATTACTAGACTTTCCACATAGAACGCAAAAGTAACACAGAAATCCTCTTGTGCTAAAAGATTATCGTCTTGCCCATTATTGAGTCTCGCGAATTGTTGCGATAGCTGTTGTAGTTGCCTTTCAATTTCCTCAATTCTGTCATTTATGGGATCACGGAGTGGATCTACAAAATTCCCCCTTCTATGGCCCCTTGTCATTGCCATTGATTCATCGAAATCACAAACTTGAGGCAAATAATCAACAAAAAAACTGATGAAATCAGCAAGATCTAGGTTGTTTTGCTAAAACTTTGGCCAAAATCAGCAAATCGTAGATCTCCACTATAACTTCCGCTCTTTGTTGTTGATCTAGGGCACCAAAAAAATCGATGCTACAATAACTCCGTACAACGATATAGTGACTCTGTACATTGCTACAGTCCTCCGTACACTGCTATAGTACTTTGATACAATGTATAATACTTTTTGTGTAGAGTGTAGGCTTTGATACCAATTTGATGCAGGGAAATTTGAGGAAGCAGTAAAATCAACAAGTTGTAG